ACCCCTGCATGCCTTCCCTGGCTATGCAGCATCTCATGTACACTCCCAACCTATGCTTCTCCCATGTGACTATTCCAATCCACTCAACAGCTCTGGGCATTCCCCCCCCATGCCCTTCCTGTCCCATATCACCCCCCTTGCATACATTCCTAACCCACATGGCAGCTCTTGTACACTTCCAAGCATGCCCAAGTACCTTTCCAACTCATACACTAACTGTGTGCTATCCCAAACCAGTGTAGCACCTCTCAACTACTGTAACCCCATGCATTTTTGGGGACTTTCACTGCCTCCTGCGCACCCTTCTTTGCCCACACAGTGACACTCACACATCCATGTCCCTTCCTGACCTATGTTGTCCATCCATGTGCCCCCCTTCCACCTATGCATCTCTGTGCATACCCACACACCCTTCCCAGCCCACATGGCATCTCTCATGCATGCCATGTGACATTCTTGACTGATATCCCCTCGCTCCCTCCCCAGCAGGCACTTATCTGCCTGCTGGCTTTGGACTTGCAAACTTCTGCTGGCTTCCCCATTGACTTTTTCTGTGCAAGCTTTGTACAATCAAATGTGGGGAGGAGAGGGGGGAAGGGAGGGGGAGGGAGGGAGGAAGGAAGGAAGGAAGGAAGGAAGGAAGGAAGGAAGGAAGGAAGGAAGGAAGGAAGGAAGGAAGGAAGGAAGATAAATAGAGGAAGAGTGAGAGGGAGGGAAATTTCTCTTGCTCCCTGCCACCTTTCCACAAGGAAAGTCAATGGGATGCTGGCAGGAAGCTGGCAGTTACTCCCGTTTTCACTGCCCCCCCCTTTTTAAAAAAAACCTGCAATCATTCTTTCTCTGTCTAGCTAAGGAAATAGCTCTGAAATGATAACCCAATAGGCCACAAGTTATCTAGTAACTACTAAAACTGGTGCTAAATATTTTGCTATTGCAATTATCCTTCTTCAACATACGTATGAATTGCTTTTGGGAAATAACTTCTGTTACACGATTTAAGATGATTTTATTGTGCTTTTGGATCCATTTATATCTTAGCAAAAAAGCAAAAGAAGAGACACTATCTATGGTCCCCAACAGATAATTAAGTGTCTTGGGAACCCTTAATGGTGTGGTCCCCATCCCCGAACTCCATCCCCAGCCTAAAGTATTGGTGAGCTGGAGTTGGCAAGACTGTATCATGAGTATTAACAGCTCATCTCAATAGCTGTCCTCATCTTGCAGCATTAATAGCTTTGGAACTGAACTTAACCTGATAAATATTGGGTGAGATTTCTCCAACACACACACATCTATAATTCAGTACAGAAACTATCTTCTTAGGCTTTCTATTTCAGCTAGATATAACTGAAGCCATTATTATTTTAAATCATATATAGTTCCAGATATAAGCCCAGAACACATCACCCTAAGCCATTGCTGGGTTTTACCATTGTTTGCTAAACAAGTTAAACTTGACTGGGCTCATACATCACACCAAACCAAAACCAAGAAAACTATCAATCCAGTTGTTGTATCCACATCAGTGGTGGGTTATGGGAAGGTCCCAAAAATTGGATCATTACCCCTACTCTGTGTTCCCATGTCATCATCCAGCTTCATTATAAATCAGGTGGCTTTTGTCTAACAAAGTTACCCTTGCGAGCACTTGTGTTAGGTAACCTATAGAAAATGGACTGTGTTAAATTGGACCATTTGTATTTTCCAGAGCAGTTTCTTCCAGAGAAGTTGAGGAGCAGAACTAGAGATCTATTGGCAGATGTCACAGAGAAGCTTCCCACACATTGCAAGGAGAAGCAACTGGTTGTGGGGAGGGAGAGAAAAGCCTGGAGAAAGAGAAAGGCCTTATGGATTCAAGGAAGCAATTTAGAATGGATGGGCTCTGTTCAAGCTGGGAAAAGAGCAGATTTAGGAAAGGGTCTTTAACGAGGAAGCGGTTCCTCCTCTGAAGCAAAAAAAAAAAAAAATTGTGGACGGTTATCATGTCTAATGGCTTGTTATTCAGTATACAGAAGAATTTTCAGTCCACAGGCAATAAAAGCAAGACTATTTCAGAAACAGCAATACATTCTAGTGGCATTTTCATTTTGCTGCATTCTTAGACATACGCTGTAGTATAGAGTTTTAGGACTCTCAATTTGTTTTTCATTTTAAAAACAAGACTTAGGTGAGAAAAGGCCATTTGAAAGCAAGTGTTCCTGATGTAGCCTGCTTCTTTCCCTGATTAACCTCTCCCTGAAAACTCATTTAAAAAGCAAACTGTGCTCTGAGAAGAAAATAAGTATCTTCTCTGTGCAGCGCATGAAACCGCAAACAAGGCAAGGAAAAACATTCTCCCAGATGCTACATAGTCAGTGTATTTCCTCATGACGAGCAGAGGAAGCTCTGGAGCACAGGTACCAAGCTCGCCGCGTCACAGTGCCATCATGTGACATGTCACGAAGTTATCCCCAATTGTGGAGCTGGGGTGGGTGTGGCCTGCATTTGAGCATTCCGGCCTGCAGGGCACCAGTTTGGCACCCCTGCTCTATAGTATTTTGGCAGGAGTATTCTAACATCAGAGTTGGCTAATTAAAAGTACCCAATATAATTTTCAAAACACAACCAGGAAAGAAGATCTAGAATTAATATTGAATGACTTGCAAGTGGCGAGCACATGCATGGACATTCACTGGAAGAAATCCTTAAAGCCTAATTTTTCAGAACATTGGCTAAAATATGGTCAATTTCTCTGGCAACTGAATTCCACATGAGTTTAGATTGTGAAGGTTTTACTGAGAGAGAGAGGTTAGGTTTGCAGCCTATTAGATTGAAATCCAGACCAAGTACAGCCTTAGGCTAATTTGCTCTTAAGGAAGATAGCCACTTTTTATTATGAATTCAACCAAATTCTAAATGAAATGACATAGAGTGGCCATTTAAACAACATTAGCACTGATTTCCTTTCAATTGAACATATTATGCTAAGTGCAGCACATTTTCCTGTACCAGTCTGTTCTCTTCAATTACTACTCCTGTGTTAATTTTCTGTTCATTAATGTAATAATTGACATTACATGGCTATTGGAGTAGTTAAAGTATAGTGTTCCTTTTCCTTTCCAATTTTTTATAACCTAAGTGAAAATTAATATAAAAACTCTGGTCCCTTAATAAAAATTGCAGGTCTATCTGATAAATTCAACGAGAATCCTGAAATACAAGTTTCTTTCATTCTACTAAAAATAAAATACTGTATATTAAATGCTGATTCATCTAAACTCAATTGTTTTTAACCAAGTTTTTAAAAATTACCTGAAATTTTCCTAGTAGCTACTATAAACTGTGGGCAAAAGAGAGAGAAAGAGAGAGAGAGAGTCCTGCTAGAGTAAACCAAGCTCCTGTCACATCCAATTTTATGAAATCACATAGTAGAGAATCAAATATTTTCAGGAAATTTCCAATCTTGGATCAGACAGCAATAATCTCTCCTACAGTGACTCCTCAGTAGTTGCTTTTTAAAGAAAATGATTGAAGAAATAGTGCCATTTATGGTCCAGCTGAAGCTGATTTAATGGAATTGTAGAGGCACCATGGTGGGCTGAAGCAGGCGATGGGCAAGTGAAGACATAAAAGCAAATCATATCTCCATTCTTCAGTCTTCTCTTGTGTTTTGTGTTTCCCTCAAGTTGCTCAGAGTAGCAGAGCCACTCAGAAGCTAATCCTGCTATTGCTAACAAAGGTTTTGAATGGGGCGAACCACTTAGTAGCCAATACAGCTCTATGTGAGCCAGTGGGTAGGTGGGGCTGATATAAATTCAAGTGTTTCTGTCTACCCATGAGCAAATGAAGCTTTACATCAGCTAAGGGATAGCCACTAAGTACACTGGATTGATTGGATGTGTGGGATGGGAAAATCCACCCAGAAGATAACATTGTGTTGGGCCAACAAGTATATCAGGCCAATGGACTAATTTGCTGAAACAGAATTTTACAGGGAGATGCCTTTTGTATCCAAAACATTTTTTCTAGATACATAATTGTTATTTAGTTGAGGTTCTATAAGACTTTCATTTTTAATACATAGAAATCCATATACAAATTTAAGCAAGGGCACCAAAACTGGAGTCAAATTCCTTCCTTAAACAGGAAGGAATTCCTGAGGCTGATCCTTCATGAAATTGTTATGAACATCATCACCATATGTTTATAAGCGGAAAAAGCTAAATAAATAAATAAATAAATAAATAAATAAATAAATAAATAAAGTAGGAACAAATTGTCTAGCTTACCCATGTGTTGAATCATGAAGTGTTTTCCTTTTTCTCAGTAGTACTTATAGTGTATCTGCACAACTACATGAATGCCAAAGGTCCAAAGCTTCTCTCGTGTAATTAGAAAACTTGTGCCAATAAGGAACAGCCCTGTGCTTTTCCCTTGAATTAAATAGTTGGCCAATGGAGGCCAATCTCAAGCATGTGGATATAGTCTTGTTTGCTTCCTCTTGCATTTTATTTATATATTTATATATGTGGGTGTCCACAGGGCAACCAGGGCCAGATGATGGGACAAACATTGCAATGATGTGACATAAACTTTGCCATTTTTGTAACTGCATTGTGATGTTGGAACTAGCATCATGATTCAGGCACATTTCATCATTTTGTTGAAATCTCAGCTTGCTGCAGGACTCCCCCCCTCACTAAAGATATATGTGGGGAAACAAACTATCAAGCTTACTAACAACTTCCTGCTTTCTGATGCATAAAGTATCCAAATAACAAAATCTCCAGTTTGTACTCATTGTTATCAGCCACCATTTAACTCTTGTATGCCCTATTTTCATTGAGCCAGAACAACAGATTTTCGTATTTATAATTTATTACACTTTCATCTGTCCTTCAAAAGAGAGGTCTTCTGATAAGGTAATGTTTATAGGCATTTCAATATCTTCTATAATACAAATAACCTTCACTGATAGTAGAGCAACAGAATGGGTGGGAAAACATAAAACAAAGCACTACCTTATTCACTCCATCTGCCATGGCTTGTAAAGTCAGTTCTCTTGGCCCATCCACAGTTTTGCCATTATCAGTGGGACCCCAACTAGCACTATAAATATCAATTACTTGAGGCATGTGGCTGATAGAAGAAGCCTCTATAATGTCAGTCATAAATGGTTGATCCAACATTCGGATACCTGCAAGTTTAATCAATATATATTGACGAAGAGAAAAAGAAAGAAGTAGAGATTAAGGAGAAGGAGAGATTAAAAAATCTGAAATCAAACAATAATTTTTTTAATAATATTTGTCAACAGGAGATTTCAACACTCAGAATTTAAAGGCTAGCATACAGTATAGCGCGCGCGTGCGCGCGCACACACACACACACACACATATTTAAATCTGCTATAAAAATTCAAACCATGATTTGATTTTTTTTCCCCTGCCACAAAATATAATTAACATCCAGGATCAAGCAAATGCAAATGCAGTGGTTCTTTCATGAAATGTGTGAATAGTTTTGGAATGCAAGATTAATTTTTTGCAAGTTCAATATTGTAGACTATTTAATTCACCCAAACCTAAACAGGTTTTGATTTCATGTATCTAAATAGAAAATGTACATGGCAGTAGATAGAAAGTTAAAAAGTTGAAACAAAAGGCTTTTATTAAAATTGTTAGATCAAGTACATTATATGAAATACCAAGTCAACTCTTTCATCTTAATACCAGTATGAATAGCAGCCAAAGTTTCTGTTTATCTTGTTCTTTTCAACTGATATTTGTAGGAAACGATAAGCTACAGTGAAAAATTCTAGACAGTAACATTATAATCTGAAACAAACTATAATATTAAAATTCCTCAGCTAGATTTAAAAAAAGAATCCTTAATGTAAACAAACTCATCATAGAAAAGTATTTCTCCAGTTCCATCCTCTAATTTGCTTCTTGTCTGAAAATAAAAGTTTTAGAGTTCATTCTAAAATAAAATCTGAAATTACTCTTTCAATTTTTCCCCAAGACATTATTGGAACCTATAGGTTTAAAATGTGAAGAATAATTTGCAACCTTCCTGGATTTGAGTTACTGACTTTTTCACCAATATCTCAGTGACCACTTGATGGTGCTAGACCTCAACTATAATCTAATTCATTATTATATTGTGGGTCTCTTTACCAAAAATTAATTCCCTAAAAGACTTTGACAAATCTAATATTGTTCATGCTACCACTCTGAGGGAACAAACTTAACCCTTCCTTCCTTCCTTCCTTCCTTCCTTCCTTCCTTCCTTCCTTCCTTCCTTCCTTCCTTCCTTCCTCCCTCCCTCCCTCCCTCCCTCCCTTCCTTCCTTCCTTCCCTTCCTTCCTTCCTTCCTATTCTAACATATACTTTCCTATTGCATATGAACTGTGAATAATTTATAGTACTTGTATACAGGAATAAGCTTATAAAAATAAACATACCAACACAATTCTAAAATGATAAAATATTAACAAAAATACCATGTTTCCCCGAAAATAAGACCCTGTTTTATATTTTTTTTGAACCCTGAAATAAGCGCTTGGCCTTATTGCCATGCACTCAAAAGCCCAATTGGGCTTATTATCAGGGGATGTCTTATTTTGGGGGAAACAGGGTAATAGCAACAAAGAATCAATGCCAGCAATAATAATCAAAAGCATTCCTGTAACAGGAGGTGTCTATATCAATTTGTCTCCACCTTAAAGGCCGGTGGTCAGCCTCTATATGTTATTAGTATTTTATGGTTTCAAATATATAGTTCAGCAGTGTTCATCAACAAGGTATCAATAAAAATTCAGATAGGAAGGGAAGTTAAGAAAGAGGGCCAGTTCTATATATCCAAAAGACAAATGTACATACTTTTGTTTTTTCAAGTATAGCATGTTGGGAAATTTATACTGCAAATAATCTACTTCTCAGAAATCCTGTTTTCTTTTTAATAAAACAGTAATATGGCTAGGGAAGAAAATCTCTAGTTGAAGCCTTACCTGCTACCTTTGAATTATAAGCCACTCCAACTCCACAGATATTATTGTTTGCTGCAGCAGACACTTCTCCTGCACATCTGGTTCCATGACTATGGAGAAAGATAGAAATTGTAACCAAAGCTCACGGAAGCATCAAGAAACATGACCCATAGATACTTTTTCCAAAAAGCAACTGGACTTTTGGTTTTTTTCTTTGAAAATATTTTGCTTCTCATCCAAGAAGCTTCTTCAGTTCAGAACTTTGAAATGTTTTTCAAAAACAAACAAACAAGGAAGTCATGTTGGTCTTTTGGGACAACCATGACCTGGATGATTGAGAAACTCTATAGAAGCATGCTCCTTTATGCATAGCTACAGATCATTTTAAGTGCAAACCTATTGTGCAAAACAACAGTCTAGATTGCAATCCAGTTTCTGACAGACAAGAAATGGAGGAACTCCTTCCAAATGCTTTGAAGTATTATGAGTTTAGAACACCGTGCATCATTCTTCTTCCATCCAAACCACAAAGTATGGATTAAAGTAATTTAGAAGGTTCCTGGTTGAATTCTAACCAGAGGCCAAAGCAGAAGAAAGTAAATCTCATTCATTGAATCAAGAAAACAATAATGAGAAAGCAATGATGACTGACACAGAAACTCAGATAGAAGGCATCATAGAGAATTGTACTGTGCCACTTTGTACAGTAGAAACAACAGCTACAATTATTGGACAACCAATTATTCTCTGGAAGTGAAAGCCATAGCTTACAAAACTGAGCTAGAATTATACCGTTTGTTGCTATGTGTACATGTATCACAATTCAGTATCAAGTGGGCATTTGTCAAGGCCTGATCATTCTCCCATTTATACCTCCTTTTAGACACATGCAGAGGGGAGGAAAAAAGTCAATGTATAAATTGGGATATTCTGACAAACATATTGTCTGTTTTAAATTGTTGTTGTTGTTCTTCTGTTTTATATCGGGTTTTCAATTATATTTTCAATTATATCAATTATATAGAATGTAAAGCATGTATATTTGTGTTTTTATTTTTATAATTATAATGTACACTGAAGACAGCATTTAATTTCATTGTACCATGTGCAATGACAATATAGTAAACAAAACTAAAGTTTATTGCTCCCCAGTATCTTTTCATTCTTTCCATTAACAATGTGGAGATACTGAAACATTTCCTAGATCAGGGGTCAGCAACCTGTGGCTCTGGAGCTGCATGTGGCTCTTTTACTCCTCTGCTATGGCTCCCTGTCACTCAAAATATGCATCACAACAGCCAATGTGTGACACCCACTGGTACGTGATTTATCCAAGAAAAGAAAAGTTTCCGAAGAAAACAGAACATTTAATTCAACTACATATGCTAGTTTTCTGGCCGCTCAAGAAATAGTCAGGCACGGGAAGGGTTTGTGACTCCCGGTGTTCTTTTTTCTGTGGGAAACGGGCCCAAATGGCTCTTTGAGTGTTTAAGGTTGCAGATCCCTGTCCTAGATAAATAAGAAGAAAGGAAAAGAAAGGAAACCAGGCTTTGCTATCCAATAAAGGAGTGATGGTGGTAGAGAGAAAGTCCATGAAGAGAAAAAATCAGGCACAGAGTCCATCTCAGACCTGGAATTTCTTTGTGTCTCCGGACTTAATATTCTATCATCTTTTACCTCCTGGAGTCAATGCTGTGCCAATATTTTGATCATAAGTACAGTATAAACTGAATGGTGGTGTTCACAACTAGATTTGCCACCAGGCAGCAGTATATTTATTCTGGTTGAAAATTGATGTGTCCCATTGTCACTGCTGATGGGGAGCCTAATAATCCTTCAAGGAAAAACACAGGCACATTTCTGACTTCGCAGTCTGTTTTAATATTTTTTTTTCCATTGGACTTGACTCAGGAAAGACAAATGTTTATTTTCACTGAGCTCAATCAAAGCATTCTTAAAAAGTGCTCCTGCTGATTTACAAATGTGGCATCGGTATTCAACCTATTCCTGAAAGCGATGTTGTTCCGATAAGAGGTGTGCAATTTCTCTGGTATCATCTGTTTACTTAGTTTTATTTTAATTTCCATTAGATCTATTTTCTTTTCCAACATTCAAAGTTTGCGTTGGGAGCAAAATTTCCCTCAGTAATGGGGGATCTGTTGAAACTAGCTTTAAAGGAACAGTCAGAGATCCTGTGTTGCTAGGCATCTATTGTTCAGTATTTGTGGCCTGCGTACAAGTATGAAGCAATTTCTAGTGTTACATATTGTCTTACATAAAAATTTGTTTGGTGTAGTGGATAAGAGAGCCAGTTTAGTGTGCTGATTTTAATTTATCAGGCTAGAAACTGGGAAACTGTGAGTTCTGGTCCTGCATTAGGCACAAAGCCACCTGGGTGACCTTGGGCCAGTCACACATTCTTAGCCTTAGTAAGCATGCAAGAGAAACTACTTCCAAAAAACTCTTGCCCAGGAAACTGATGGGACTTGTCCAGGCAGTCTTCAGGAGTCAACATTGACTCAAAGCCACCAAAGCAACAACATACTGGATAAAATCATATAATCAGGAGACCAGGAGCTTTAATCCTGCCTCAGGTCTGAAGCAAGCTGGATGACTGGCCAGTCATTGTCTCTTAACTCTAGGAAGAAGACAAGGGCAAAACACTTTTGAAAAAATATTGCTAAGAAATCTGCATGAACTTATCAATATAGTACCAGAAGTGAAAACTGATTTGAAGGCATAAAAAAATTAAAAACAATCTTACATATTGTTTTAAATTGAAACCACAGATCTGTTTTCCACATTCATATCTTAGAAAGCATTGGACAGTCTTAAAGTTTTATTCTCTCTGTAGTTCAGCTAATGTTTAATATTAAGAGCTACCCAGTCAACACTGATCTTCTGTTTCACCAATACCAATTGCAAATAATTAAGTAGAAGAAAAGTGGTGCATGTTGTAGCCTTCAAAGTTGGCTTAGGCAAGATGATTTGTTTTATATGACCATAAGGGTATCTGCAGGGGGGCGTAAAAAAAAATCAAGGGGCTGTGGGGATGAGTAGGTGTTGTCTGCATCTCAAACTGAAACGCAAAGGGTTCCTGTAGTCTGCAATTTTTCTGGAAATCCATTCATACTCCCTTACCATTCAAAGGATGTTCATCCCAAAGTACATAGCTAAATGTCTATGGAGCTAAAGAAGCTTCTTGGATGGGAAGCGAAGCATCTTCAAAGAAAAACAAGAAAGTCCAGTTGCCTCTTGAAAAAGCACTTTTGGGATATTGTACAACTGGGGAAAACTACAAATGAGAGAACCCATTGACCGTTTTTCAAAGCAACTGCCTGTAAGCATGAGTCTATGTATAGTAGTAGTTGTTGTTTTAAAAATCATTTTTTCCCTTCTAAAAGCCACTTAAATGGAACCCATGGTTGGGAAATCAATCATAAACATTGGATAGGAGCCAAAATAAAAAAAGACATTCCACACCAATGAGCAAATTACTCATTTCATTTATAATTCTGACTTACATTCTCCCCAATAGTAGAATTGATTATGGTGTTAGTGAAATATTACTCTTCTCTCATACTCCCCCCCCAAATTAACAATGTAATATTAAGTATTCTACTTAAAAAGAAGCCCCATTGACGTCTGATAAAGTTCATTGTAATGGCTCTCTGAGTGGGAATTTATCTTTTGATATATTCCAAAATGTTTGCTGTCTCACACAAATGAATCCATGAGAGAAGCTCTTGAACCATTGCAAGATAAATATCAGAAAACAAATATTCTACCATTGCAATCAAAGACCTTGCACAAATCATTTTGAAGTTTAGTTATTTCTGGACTGTTAATATTTATATGACCATAGGATGGCAGCAAAGAGTTAGGGCTTTTTGCACTTTATCTCTTTTCTATCATCTGGTCATGTAAATTCGTGTAGCCCTACCCAATATTTGATTTTTTCAGACCAGTAGTTTTATCCAATAGCAAAACAATATTGAGTTCCCTTTGACTTAGGACACAAGTTAATAGCCTCATGGAATCATTTGTCATTTTAAAAAGTTACATCCTAACCTAGACAACAAAAAGACACACATACTGATTAATCCAAAACCATCTTTTGTTAAAACTATCAGATCTGGGCTGCAAAATCCAGACTAGCACCAGCAATCTGGTGCCCTCCAGATATTTTAGACTTTAATTTCCTACAATCAGCATGCTCAATGGTATGAGATTGCTGGACCTGTAATCTAAATCAGATGAAGGAGCTCAGGTTGTCCATACCTGCTTAATGTTTTTGATTACTTTCATGTAACTATTACCTTTTCTCCCATAAGAGTAACAAGATCAGAACTTCAATAGATAACAAATGTTTGACTCCTTTTCTCGTTAGGAGATCGATTAAAAATATCTATGCAATTGCTAATTCATTTGGCCTTTAGCCACCACCTCCCAGCAATTCTCCACTAAATGCTGTATGAAAATGTAAGAAAGATATTTCCACTCTTTCTGCAATATGTGACAGGAGTAGATAAATGAATTGAAGAGGTTCCTGTCACCTTCTCTTGAAGGCAAAGACACTGTTGGCTTGTGAGCTTCTGATTTACCCAGGGGAAAAATATCCATGCTAGAGGATGATGTTTCTAAGTGCATGTTTATCTTTCTTTGAAAGAAGGTTTTTTTTTTTTAAAGGAAGGAAAGGATAATGTGAGCTTGGTCCAATTAAGTTAAGTGGATTTTATAGAAAAGAGTGCCGAGTAAAATTAATGTGCCTTCCCAGAGTGCTCAGAGACCTAGGATTGAGATTCCAATGAAGCCCAAATCTATAGACTCCCTTTTAGTGTTCTTACTTTATAAGCAATTATAGATCAAGTGCACCTTACCTTGACAGTCTGGTAAAATTCAAGAGTAAACAGACTGGGCTCAATACAGAAACTGAAATTGATTGTAGGCATAGATCTGACCCAGGTATTCCATGTGAGAATGTTGGCTCATTTGTGCCTTTTCTTTTTCCTTTTTGCAAAAGAGGGGATCCTTGGCTACAAACTTTCCTAGGCAAGCCCAAAGTTTTATGTAGTAAAAGCACAAATGCCGCTTTTCTTCTCATCATACCAATACTGTAGTGCAATATCTGGTTTCAGTTCTTACCATGGATATCAAATCATATGAGCACCTATTTTTCCTAATAACCCCCTTTTTTTAAGAAAGGAAAGAAACATATAAACTGTTAGTCTCAAGCACCTACATGAATTGTGAAATGTTGACTGGATTTACCCAGGGGTGGGCTGCTGGGCAGTGGTGAAATGTAAAATTTGTTACTACCGGTTCTGTGGGTATGGCTTGGTGGTGGGGGTAATGTGATTGAGTGGGCATGGCCAACTTTTTTTTTTTTTTACTTTTAAAACCATTTTTTCTACAACCTCTTCGGCCAAAGAGGTTGTAGAAAAAATGCTTTTAAAAGCCTCTGAGTTCCTAGCTGAGTTGCCTGATCATCAGAGGCTTTTTTTCCTTTTAAAAACATTTTTTCTTTGGCTGAAGAGGTTGTAGAAAAAGTGCTTTAAATTTTTTTTTAAAAAAAGCGTCTGATGATCGCGCGGCTCAGCTGGGCATGGGGGCGGCAGGAATTTTTGCTACCAGTTCTCCGAACCACCCACCGCCCTCCCAGAGGCTCAAGCAAAGCCTCCCGAGTCAGGGGAGGGCAAAAATGCCTCCCCCCACCATGGTGCAGGAGGCCGACTAGGCCATGCCCACCATGGCCATGCCCACCAAGCAACTGGGCAGAGTTTTTGATTGCTAAAATTTTTGAAGCCCATCCCTGGATTTACCCATAGAATTAAGACATGAGTTGTCTCAAATAATGAGTTGTCTGAGGTAATCCTTCCACTTCCCCGCTCCCTCACCATCCAGTCAGAACTCATAGGTCTATGAATCTTGTCTTGAATGTTGACTTAATAACATATGAAGTTTGTAGAGGTTGTGGAACAGTGGTCTTGAACCATTCCTCCAGGTCAGTAAAAGTCTGAGTAGGGTGAGAAATTCCTGACAAGCAAGGGATTTGAATCAATTTCTTACCTGTTAAACCAATCATCTGTATAGCGGGGATATGGAAATGGATCATTACTGCTAAAATCATAGCTGGCTTGAGCATTCTGGGAAACAAGTAGTAAAAATGGTTAATACCACATATATGACTGATTGCAGTCAAGAAAAGCATGAATAGTTAAGAAACTTATTTTCAGCTTGAGTATAATTTGTATTTCATCTGGCCCAATATATATACCTGACAAGGTTTTATTTTTAATTAACCTGACCATTCATTCAGAATGACTTTTTAAATTATTATTAAACAGAAAGAGAGAGGGGGGGGAGGTGATATACTAGAAAGCAAAGGTCAGCTGCTACCATAACTTTTAGTTAGAAGAATTCTTTTGGGCCCTACATTAAATCCTGCAGACATTTTAGAAGAAACCAAACCTCAGTAGCAGCATCCTTACTTTGCCTGCCAATATTTGTTCTTCCATTCATTTCTCCAAGGATAAAATCACAGAAAGAATTATTTATGAGCCTCCTACCTGAAACCTCACATTTCATGGCAGATTATGTTGGCTAAAGCTGGCAAAGGATCTTGGTACATAGAGGTTTCTTCCTTTTGATAGTAATCCATGATTGAATTCAGCTGAACCTATCTACTTTTGTCAGGGCACTAATGATGGGGCGGGGTGTCAGCATTTTCCTTTCTGTCTGTCTTTGCCCAAAAAGCTGAAATCTTTCCCCTCTACTTTGAATACCTTCCATTACAGGGGAGCCCATCTGCTTTTCCAATGCAATTGTAGTGACATAAACCGTGGAGAAAACAAATGACTAAATATGTATAATTAAATTTATACATTTGATTTCACTAGAGGCAGAAGTGATTGTGAATAAGAAATTAACAAGAAACCCCATGTATTATTCATAGTAAGAATTTCAGCAGACTAGAGGAAATTAAATCCACCTTTGATTTGCTGGAATTTTCCTCTTAACAAATGACAGATTTGTGCCAAATTTAAGCTCTTAGTTCATTAATTACTCTCAGACATTTCTGTTCTCGCTTAAGGTGTGCGACACCCTGTACTTTTGCCCACGTGGCAAACCCTTTGTGATTCTCCCATTCTAGGCAAGCTTATTTGCCTTATTTCTTGTATGTTTTGGATAGCTGGTTAGAGCTTTTTTTTTATTAAGACATTTGAATGATTTTAATACAAAAATGTGACAATGTGGTACACGTGGACATTTCCCTTTGTGAGTGGCAGGCTCCTTGTGTCATCTCGGTCCATGTCAGTTTGGTTTCCCACCAGGATATTTCACACAAAAATAGCCTTATTTTTGTAGGCATGGTTTGATGGTCATGTGACAATTCTTTAGGATTTAACAGAGGTACTGGTCTATCAGGCTTTTAAGTGCTTGCAGAGCTGTACCAGTCTACCCATTTGTTTTTGGAGCATTCTGGTCTACCCATATTTTTGGAGGCACTGGTCTACCCATTTGTTTTTGGAGGCACCAGTCTACCCATGTTTTTGAAGCGCACCAGTCTACCCATTTGTTTTTCGAGCGCACTGGTCTACCACCATACTGCCTTTTAACACTGATCAGCTGTAGGGCGGCCCTTTGAAGCCCTGTGGCAAGAGTTTAAACAGTTTTTTTCCTTCTAGCCGATCAGCTGGGACTCGGGAGGCAGCGAATAGATTGGGGGTGGAGCCAAATAAAAGGTAAGAATCACCTGGGGCCAGGCAGGAGGGCCCAGCTCCTGAACAAAGAGAACCGGTTTGGTGACGTCATATTGTCACCACTACCGGCTCGGCTGAACCGGGCCGAACCGGGAGGAACCCACCACTGGATCTATCCATGTCAACGTGGAACTATGTCCAGTTTCAACTACAGTTCTGATGACTTCACAATTGAATGACTGCACTGAAGATTCCATAGAAACTGCAAAATTATCTGGGAGAAAAATTCAAGGGTCCACTATCAGAATGGTTCTCGCTCTAGTAGCTACCCTTCAAATTTCAGAAAAAAGACACAGACAGAAGAGCTTTTTTAATATATATGACTTTAGAACAGGGATGAAATCTACTTACCTACCCTACTGGTTCAGGAGTGTGTGCGCCATCATCACGTCTAATTTTTGATCCTCTGCACATGTGCAAAGCCTTCTGCGCATGCACAGAGGGTCAAAAATGGGTTACTTCCTGGTTAAAACCAGGAAGTAATGACGTCTGGGCAGGTGGGCGGAGCCTCATGCTCCCACCACTACCGGTTTGCCAAACCACACGCCACTGGCGCTACCGGTTCGCATGAGCCAGACAGAACCGGCAGGATTTCACCACTGCTTTAGAACATACACTAGAGAGAAGTTATTAGACTGATGTGAAGTGTCAAAGAGGTATTTAGTTTTGATGAAGCTTCACTTTAATCATCTATCTAAGCAGATTAACAGGTTTATTTCAGTGCAGGAAAACAAATCAGGGGACTGTACAAGAACAAAGATTTTGATGAAGTGATTTGGGCTGTGGAGGTAAATTTACTTTTTAAACTCTTAAACTCTTAAAGCTCTTATTTTTAAGTTGGAATAAGAGATGTCCTTTGTTGGATAATTTACAGTATTGTGCTTTCCTCAGCCGTGATACCTTTGTCTTAACAAAGGGAATGGGTGGGGAATGTTTTGAATGATATTGAATCTAAACCTTGGAGGCTATTCAGCTAAAGGTGAGTAGAGCTAATTTTCTATAAAGCATCTATCAATCCTGTCATTTTCATCCCATTCTGCCAAAAAATGAAGCAGTAGCGAGCCTTGAGACTAGACTTATTTTTTTCCCCTCATTGAATTTCTAAACCCAATTTGGCTCAAACTAAATTGCCTTGCCCTTGATTTTTCAAAGGCAAACTCAGGTAAAAGCATGCTTCTTTTACCCTCAAGGCTAATTGACATTGACCTAGATGGCTTTCCTTTATGTCAGAGATAAGCAGCTTGCAACCACAGCTCCTGTTTGGGACCCTTCTGGCTAGAATTGCTGAAAACCGACAGCAGTTTCCTGCCATTGTGAGTTAGGGAAGCAGATAAAAATGACAATGTAGACCCCAAGAGAGGGATCTCGTATTTAAAAAGCAAAACAGAACTCTTAAATTATTCTCTTACATGTCTGAAAATGGTCCTACTTCCACCCTGCAAACATTTAAATGAAAATCTTTTTCATCAAAAAGGTGTCAATCACTGATAGTCTTAGAGGTCAAAATCCTAACCCTTGACTCTAAAAGAAGTTGGAAGCAGTACACAAAGCAGGGATGGCATACATACAATATGGGCATGATCTAGTCCCAGATGAAATTAATTTTTTTTAACCACCTGTAGCTTCTGGATCATGTCCAAAAGCCATTCTAGAGGCAACACAATACATTTGTCCAAACAAGACTACCAGAAAACACTTAATATCTTCAGACATATTCTTGGCTGGCAGACAGGTTAGGTATTCAATGCCTATCAGAGGAAAACTAAGGCATCTTATTTATTAGGTATACAATTTGTAAAACTTGTATTCAACATGCTATTCATTTCTCCTTAAGGTATAATGAAATTCAGAAATGGGGGGAATGAAGAATGCCTTTTAAAAACATCCATTTTGTGAAATGTAATCAAATTGAATTATAAAAATATATTATATTTGTTACCTTGAATATATATATTGCTTCCACATTTGTATATGCTTTAAACAATTTATTTCATAGTACAAGTACATTGGACTATGCTTATTTGTTTACTCTGATTGTAGGGGGTGCATTTTATAGATCATAAGGAATTATGATATCCATAAATACAATGTGCTTTAGATAGCAATTCTGTTTTTATACAGAAGAAATTCCAAATTAATTCAGTAGCATTTACTACTGAGTAGATAAGCATGGGATTGCTCTAATTTCTAGGTTGCATTAGGAAAGTATCTGACTATCAAAGTAAGACCTGATTATATTGGATGCATAAATTTGTCCCAAACAGAAGGAGATGGATTTTGCCTGGCATGTTTAAAGCAACTTGTGATAGTTATTTTGACATTTAACAGTTTAGCACAGAAGCAATTGAAACTATAAGCAACAAGAAATTGTATAAAGGTACTGAATGAGCATTAGTATGGAATCCCCCACGGGATATATAATTCAACTCAATTGATTTTACTTCTGACTAATATGCTCTATGTCAAAACAACAAATATCCAAAATGTAAGCAGTATTTATTTCTTTACTCGATATCCTGCCTTTCTGCTTGGAGTGACTACCTACAATGAAAAACAAAATATAAGAAACAAAAAGAAAATATCCAAAGTTAAAATCATTTACTAAAAGTAGCACTAAATTTGATAGCAAAATCATTTCACGACCAAAATGAAAAATGATGCCCATATTCATAGTTCATAACATAACTCATAAGAACACTATATACATTCTATATACAATACTATATACACTGTATCTTGATTCCTGGCTATTGCCTAGAGAAGTCCATGTACTTTTCTTGGCAACATTTTCAAAAATGATTTACCATTGTCTTCTTCCTACAGCTGAGAAAGAAGAACGAGCATTCTTGGGGAAATTAAAACCTGTAAACATATACCGCACCCAAGTTTCCATTCTGAATATCTGTAGCTGAAAATCATAACACATGGGCAACCAACAGGGATGACTGGATGAAAATCTCCTGCACTGGACACATGTCTATTCATTTTACTTCCATTTCCCTGATGTGTAGTTTTCCTAAAGGGACACTTTGGACATCTTTACAAGATCTGAACTTTATTTTCCAGCTCTAGGGGTTTACTGTAACTTCCATTTTTGGCCAACTGGACAAAAATTTCTTTTCACCTGTATTCTGATCCAGCGAGCAACAATCAAGTTCTTTTGATAGGATTCCAAAAAGATGCTTAAAAATACTTGGAGGCAGGAATGTAGCATCTATCTGCAACTTTTCAAGAGGACAACATGCAATCCCAGGAAAAGGGAACATTTGGGATGCTACATGTTCTGTTTAGAATTAAATCTGAAGCATTTCACAGACATTCTTTTTTTTTCTGTCCTATTTTTTCTTCCTTCTCCAAAGTGATGTTATATTTTGCTGTGCCCAATCTCACTAGTCTACAGATGGGGAGGAAAATGTTTGAGGATTCATACATAGTAGGGTTTTGCTTGAGTTCAATGACACTTCTCAGTAGGGATTGGCTTCAAAAATTTTAGTAAGGGGTTCTCTGCCCAGTTGCTGGGTGGGCGTGGCCATGGTGGGCATGGCCATGGTGGATGTGGCTAGTTGGCCTCCTGCACCATGGCGGGGGGGCATTTTTGCCCTCCCTGGGCTCCGGAGGCTTTCCTTGAGCTGCTGGGAGGGCGAAAACGCCCCCCCCCAGGCTCCTGAGGCCCTCTGGAGGCTGGAAACGGGCCCATTTCCAGCCTTCCCAAACTTCCGGTAGGGCTGTTTTTCACCCTCCCCAAGTCTCCGTGCACGCCCTGAATTTACCTACATCCAAAATGGGCTGCGTGGGGACTCCTGGGATGGGAGGGGAGGGGTGGGCTGGGCAGAGCCAGCCAGCAGTGGGATTTGGGGGTTCTCTGAACTGCACAGAATCTTAGCTAGAGAGTCTCCCGAACCCCTGCAAACCCCCAGCATCAACTGACATGCATAAAGTTCTGCAGCTAGCATCCTTCTCCACCACAGTCTGCCTCGATTCAATCTTTCCCCCAACAGTTGATCAGCACAAAACCCACAGCTGTTCTCCTCATGTTCGTTTTTTATAATAAATGTTTTTTTCTTCATTGTAGAAGAGCTTTATTATTCCCTCCAAAATGTCTTTTATCTCAGAGAGGTTTTGCCTGACAAAATTAGTGGCTTTGTGTGAGTACTATGAACTAAAAATTGAACCATGGAATACATTATGCTGATATTTTAATGATCAAAAGAAAAACTCCTCTTAGAAAAAAAAAAGAATTTATAATTCATGGAATTAAAGCACGGAGAAGAAAGAATGTCTTTGTTAAATGTACCCTGCAGTCCCTGGACCAATATGGGGGAGTGTGTATTTCAGTGCAAGCCAGTGAGTTGGTACATTTGCTTATTTTAAAGAGATGGTAATCCAAAACTGAGTAATTTTAATTACCAAATAATAAGTGTTTTTTTTATCAGGGCAACCTGGTCTACCCAAACATGGGACGGCGCATACTGCTCTGCTTTCGCCTTTCAGCCCCAATCCAGGAGGCAGGCAGTTGCTTTTGCTACAAATTATTTTTGTGTTAAATTTTATATTTACTGACAAAGAAATAAAGAGAGACTAGTATAGAGCTATTTCAAGCTATTTAGCTCTCATCAGCTAGCCATACCCTTTTGGGATTCAAACCCAGGGTTCGAATCCCAGAAGAGTATGGCTAGCTGATGAGAGCTAAATAGCTTGAAATAGATCAGGGGTGGGTTCTACTTACCTTTACTACCATTTCGCATCATGGCCACATGTGTGTGATCACTTCGCTTGCGCGCACACGCTCTGTGCATGTGCAGAAGCTTCTGCCCATGCGCAGATCACTTATGATGACATCCGGGTCAGTGGGCAGAGCCTCCCGCCAGTTTTACTACCGGTTCTTGCAAACCGGTCCAAATCAGGGGGCAGCCCACCACTGAAATAGATCTACACTAGTCTCCCTTTATTTCTTTGTCGGTAAATATAAAATTTAATACCAAATAATAACTGCCAAATCAAACAAGGCTTAAGGTACTGTATAAAACATACATCATAAGAAGATACAACAAATGAATGAATGCCAGTGTGCTAGTTAGGGAAATATATAAACAAGATAATTCCAACCATTCATCATCAATCGTGTGGGATGACATATCTCCCTGGCTTGTGGCCTGTTTGAAAAGCCAAGGTTTGAAAGCTTTTCTAAAGGAGAATAGAGTTAAGACCAAATAGAACCCAGAGGAAATGGTATTCCAGAGGGCAAGATGGACGATGGGCCATCTTGAGGAAACGAGCAAAACAAATACAAGTAGACTATTTTATTGTGTTCTGGCCTACAATTGAGGCCAGAACTTCATTGCTAAGCAAAGTGATTGTTGAAGGAGTGGTGCCGGATCACTGCAGTTGTTAAGCGAATCATGTTATTGTTAAGCAAATCTGGCTTCTCCCACTGACTTTGCTCATGGAAAGTCAGCTGGGAAGGCCACAAATGGTGGTGATACAACCCCAGGATGCTGGAACCATTGTAAATGCATGGTCATTGTCGAGGACCAAATTTTGATCCTGTGACCGTAGGGATGCCGGGATAATCGTAAGTGTGAGCAATGGTCATCAGTTGCTTTTTTCAGTGCCATTGTAATTTGGAACAGTTGTGAAATGAATGGCTGTAAATTGAGGACTATCTGTGCTTCAAACAAGTGCATAAAACCAAAAATCATGTATTTTTTCAAGATAGTAACTCTCTAGCAGCATCCTTTACCTAGCTTCCTCCCGAATGCTGGTTTTACAGATGCATGTTAAAAAAAATGAACATTCAGATATATAAGAACTGCCTGCAGAAAGAAGCTACTGTAGCAATCAAGATGCAGATTTACTAGTTCAATCCCGCATCTTTTTTTGACACATATTACTTATCTCAGGACTCTTCCTCTGAAGTTACTTTGCCTTGCTGCCATAAGAACGTTGGTAAAAATTCACAAAAAAAAATCCCACTTTTGAAAGGCCAGGCAAGTTTTATCAACATAAAACCTTTTCAGTAGACATGCAGTTTTCAGAATAGGCAGCATTCCCCCCTCCTCATCCTTCTATTGATACCTTAGAACACTACAAAAGGAAAGGTCTAAGCAAAGACACAGCTATCATAGATGCTTATCTTATTCTGTAAACTATATGACATAGAACAACTCATCTGAGAAAGCTGATGAAATTTTTCTTAGGAGAAGACATTTAAAATAAACACTACGAATATTTCAGGTCGTTGTCTGCAACTGTTGACACTGGTGCCATTAATGCATTCTTAGAGAACTTGCTAAATCCCATTACTTTGTGTTGGATAAAATACATACTTCATGTTGTTAGTTGCCATCAAGTCAATATTGACTCATAGTGATTTTTTTGAGATAGTTTTCCTGAATAGCGTCTTGTCCTCTGTCTGGTGACTAATCATTGCTGAAATGGCATTCATGGAGTTTAGTTGTATCACTTTAGTATTGGTATGAACACTAATCTTCTCCAACCAGTTAACCATGATGCTATCTTCCAAATATCCTTGTAAAACCTTGTGTGTATTGTAACAGCTGCATTTTCATCCCCCCTTTCATGAAGAAGCTCAAGACAGCATACATTGTACTCCTCTCCTTTTGTTCACCATAACCATCCTGAAGCATGGATTGGACTGAAAGAGTAATGAGCCTAGAGTAGTGATGGCTAACCTTTTTGCCATCGCGTGCCAAAAGTGGGAGAAGCAAGGGGGATCGGGCGCGCCCATGCCCACATCCATAATTCTATGCGCCCCGCCCCCACGCATGTGTGCACGACCCCCCCGTGCTTTCCCCACTTTTGCATGTGATGGCACAGTGGGCCCGGTGTTCTGTCCCCCTTCCCCACACAGGCAAACACACAACCAGGCACGCCTGCCAAGATTTTATTAAGCAATCAGCCTAGAAACCCTTGCAGATAAGAGTTTTGGCAGTAAACTGCGAAATGCCTGCCAAGCCAGTTTTCACTCACAATCAGCAAGAGAGAGTTTATTCTCAGTCCAGTTCAGTAGCAAAAAGTAATCCACGAAGCAAGAGTTAGCCAAGGTCCAGTCCAAATATGCACAAGCCAGATTTCAGGTAACGCGATGTGACTCTCAGGTTTTTAATTTTGACTGTCACAAACCTTGAAGAGCAATCACACCCACTTTTATTCCTTGTGGGGTGTGGCTCAGTGACTCAGCTCAATCTCTGGCCCTCCCACGCCTCTTTCGTTGCTGCGAACGCTTCTCCCTCTGACACTGCCTGGGATCAAGCCAGGATTCATCATCCTCGCTCCCTATCTGTTGTTGTTCCGATATGCTTTCCTCCTGGCATATCCCAGGCTGTTCCTCTTGGCCTTCAGATGGAACCTGAGGCATTGCCAGAGAGGAGGATCCTGGAGAGGGAGGCCTTATCAGTTCCTCCCCATCACCTTCTGAGTCCTCTTCCTCTGTTAGGACAGGCTCGGGAGTTGGGGTCACAACACCTGGTAGCCCCGTTTTTCACCCTCCCTAGGCTCCAGAGCCTTTCTAGGAGCCTGGGGAGGGCGAAAACTGCCTCCCCCCCCAGAGGCCCCCCAGAGGATGGAAACGGCCTGTTTGCCAACTTCCAGTGGGCCCAGAAGGCCTGAAAATCAGCTGACTGGTGTGCACATGTGCACCAGAGCTAAGCTCGCATGCCCACCGATATGGCTCTGTGTGCCACCTGTGGCACACGTGCCATAGATTCGCCATCACAGGCCTAGAGTCACCCAAATTCTGTGGATGGTTTTGCAAATGATCCAGATAGAAGATAAGCAAGTTGGTCTCTTCCTTAAGCCATCTCTGGGGCAGATTTTTAATTTACCCCACCTTCAGAGACATAATCTGTCACTCAATCCAAAATCTGACACCCAATGGTTTCTTTTCTAGTTACTAGATTTGCTTTGGAAGCACCTACCAAGGCACTTCCAAATTGAAAGGATCAGCCGATGGCATCACCTTTATCCAGGGTATGCCTGAGAGGGCTCCTTTCATGTCCTTGTTATTTTCCCCCCAAAGTGGTACCTATTATCAACTTGCATTTTGCATGTTTTCAAATTGTTAGGTGGGCAAGAGCTGGGACAAATGGATGGGAGCTCATTTCGTCATTCAGCTGATGCTCCCAGGTTTTGAACTGCTGAGCCACTTCTACCTTATATAAGTGAATTAAAACTAACACTGCCACACAGTGTGCAGTAGTGGGATCGGGAAATGTCAAGGTGACCCCTTCAAGCTTCTGTTCTAAAGCAAGTTCTGGAAATACAAAAAAGACAAGTATTTTTCTAGTCTTTGAGGGCTGAGCTTTGCATTAGATGCCCAATTATGCATCCTTAAACAATACAGATTAGCAACAGCTGAATGTCTGTTTAGTGCTTTTAGTCTTCAAAAGGCATATACTCTGAGGGGTTTTTTTTTTTATGTGTGTTTTTTTCTTATGAAAGTGACCAAGGAAGGTAAGTCATATGGCATCAGTCAAAACATATTAATTAACACTTACACCCAGCAGGAATATTCTCTCATTTTCAAGACAAAATGGATCCATTAAAATGAAGTAACGAATAAATAGGCTGATTTAAATATTAATAACCAGATGCCACTGTAAAAGGCCAATATCCAGTTCTTTACAGCTTTTAAGGCTTTATGTAAGTCATGTTATCTTATTTTTCCAAAATAGCCATTGTTTCACCAAACCAAAAGGTATGAAAAGAATCAGACTGGGATATTAATTCTTTGTGCCAAAGGCAACTTGGATATAACGGTAAATCATTGCAAGCTTTCAGTGAAAGAAATGCATAGGATTGCATTCTGGTTTCAGAATTTATTCCCCCATCTGAAGGAAAGTTAAATTGGATGGAACAGACTAGTTTTGGAGTAATTGCACCAATGGGAATATGCTATCTGCTGCAGATATCAATTGTGCTGGTTTATCTCAGCATTCTTAGTTTTTGGTTATCAGGAGTTGCTTCCAATAAATGAGCAAGTGCAACTGAGAGACAATAACTGAAAGTCAATTATCCGACATGAATACAACAGTACTTATATTGAGTAGTATAGCAGGGAAGCTTTTTCTCATTGTTCCTCCAGCTGTTACTTTAGATAACGCTTTAATTTCAAGCTGTCAGCTGGATGATTTTCCTGACTTAAACTTCTTCAGGATTCTCCCCCCGCACCACTCCCCAGGCATTGACAAATTGTCCTAGTGAAAGATAGAGGTGCTAGAAAATAAATATTAGTTTTCTAGTAGAGAGGTTTCAGTGCCTAGTTGGATTAGAAATCTTGTCCCTGATATCTCCTATCCTGCGGGACAATCTGAATGCACTTACTGTAGGTTTGGATCAGTGGTGAAATCCAATTTTTTTTTACTACTGGTTCTGTCGGCGTGGCTTGGTGGGTGTGGCGTGGCTTGGTGGGCGTGGCTTGGAGGGCATGGTAGGGGAAGGATACCGCAAAATCCCCATTCCCTCCCCACTCCTGGGGGAAGGATGTTACAAAATCTCCATTCCCACCCCACTCTGGGGTCAGCCAGAGGTGGTATTTGCTGGTTCTCCGAACTGCTCAAAATTTCCGCTACCGGTTCTCCAGAACCTGTCAGAACCTGCTGGATTTCACCCCTGGTTTCGATGCTAACTCAGGTTCAGCCCAATGTTGTTTCAAGAAAAAACTGAGAAGAAGGAGGAAAGAGAATCCTCATCATTCAGAGGATGTGACGTATATGACTTTCATCTCTCTTTAACCATAGCTTGTTCTAGGTTTGAAGAGACCATGCACAAAATGCCCATTGTGGCACTTGTTCATCTCTCTTTCTGATGATGTTTTTCAGATCTCTCTATTGAATCTCTTTCATTAGAATCAAATGTTTCCAGCCAACAGCAGACGAAGTGGAAACTCCATTTTCCCCATCCAACAAGTGTAACTAAAAGTCATCTTAACTATACTGTGCTCTCTGGTCACCTCTGTTTAAAATAGCTCATCATGTATTCTGTCGCATTGTGTTGTATACATTGTGCTGCAAAGGAAATTCAAAAGGGCAGTTGTAAATGTCACCTATTCTGTGCAATATTTCATCAGCTCTGCTTCTAATTTTCTTCTTTTGGCACCATGTGCCTTTTCTTCCCACTCAACAGAAGGTTTCTTGTGGGGAGATTTCAAAGATGTGTTAAATCATGATGAGCATGACTCCATCTATCGTCAGCATGAGTCACTATAGCACCGAGCTACCCCACTGTGTAAATGCCACCAACATCTAAAGGTACAGCTGCCACATACTTGACAGACAGTTGGATCAATTATTTTTGATAACAACAATTAATATGTACATGGGAGGGTTGAAAGATGATGGAAGCAAGGATATATGTGTGTGTACACACACACACTCACACACACACACACTCACACACTCACACACTCACACACACACACACACCTGAATCTGAATTCCTTAGTCACCATGGCTATGGTGGTGCAGTGGTTAGAATGCAATATTGCAGGCTAACTCTGCCCACTGCCAGGAGTTTGACCCTGACTGGCTCAAGGTTGACTCAGCCTTCCATCCTTCTGAGGTCAGTTAAATGACGATGCAGATTGTTGTTGGGGGCAAGAGGATGAGTCTGTAAACTGCTTAGAGAGGGCTGTAAAGCACTGTGAAGCAGTATATAAGTCTAAATGCTATTGCTATTGCCCAAAAGAAAAAATAGGGAGCTGGAATGGGTTCCTTATATTTGCGACTTCAACCCAACCCACCTGTTACTAAAAGGGTAGGCTAAATGCTAATAGGAATCTTAAATCACAACAACTCTTTTTCTAGGGAGATTTCCTCTCTGTTGAAGTAACATTATTTATTTTGGCTTAAAAAAAACACTGTTAAAATAAAGTTGTAAATTGCTCCTGCATCTATTGCCTTGAGCTCACTGAATAACATTTTGTAACCTCAAAAGTGAAAGGATGCTCCAATAGATCAGACAATTAAGTTACTAAGTAATCAGACATTGTAAGTTATGTATGTAATGATAAAATAGCACAAGACCCAGTATTGTTCCCTCATTATATCCACCACCTACATGAAAATCTATCCCTAAATTAAACGATTTGCCATTTTCAAGGAATGGGATCAATCTGAAGCAATTATCTTTCATTTCATAAAGCTCTGCTTTTGCCTCTATCTCTCAGACTTGAATGCATGTTGAAAGATGCATCCTCTGTGTGGCCTTCATTTTGTTTATTTACCAGAATGAACACAATTTCAGCCTAACTCTAGGTTGATTCCTTCTCTAAACATTCTGATTATTATGCAGTTTGCCTGAAGCCTACCAGTGCAAAAAGAATGAATTCACAATTAGTCTTTTTTTTAATGGCTCAGTTTAGAACAGTGATGGCTAACCTTTTTGCTGTCACATGCAAAAAGTGGGGGGAGTGTGGGGGGGGGGTTGTGCACGTGCGTGCCCACACCCATAATTCAATGTGCCCCACCCCCCTGCGCATGCATGTGTGACCCCCCATGCTCTCCCCACTTTTGGCACGTAATGGCACGGTGGGCCCAGTAGTCCCATTTTTTGCCCTCCCCAGGCTCCAGAGGCTTTCTAGGAGCCTGGGAAGGGCGAAAATGGCCTTCCCCACCCCCCGGAGGCCCTCTGGAGGCCAGAAACAGCCCGTTTTCCAACGTCCGGTGGGCCTGGAAGGCCGGAAAATCAGATGGCCGGCATGCAGATGCGTGCTGGAGCTGTGCTAGGGCAACGCTCGTGTGCCCACAGATATGGCTCCGGGTGCCACATGTGGCACGCGTGCCATAGGTTCGCCATCACAGGTTTAGAACATGGTATAATGTAGATCTTGTGCATACTATAACATTTTACTGAACTGAGCTCTGATTCTTTCATACTCTGCTAGAAAAAATGGTATCCTTGGTATTCCATGAACTGTTTAAGGATAATAAAAATAACTGTGCCTCTTCTGTACATTACATACCACATCTATCCAACTGTCTGCCTCTTCATCCATCCATCTGTCTTTCTTGTCATTTCTTCCATACTCACTCTAATCACTTTATTTTATGCTCCATTAAAAAAAGTCTATTTAAACAATTGAAGAATAGAGTAGTAAGCTGATAAATGGTTGCCTGGCCTGCTGTTGTCTCTTTAAGAGACTTTTTATTCAAATCTATTGGTGAATTAATCCTAGTTTTAACCTTCTGTTTATGTTTGATAAAGACTTATTTTCATTATCTGAGTTTAGCAACAGAACTGTTTTCTCCTGAGACAAGCCCTTGGTCTACCTAATCCAAAATTATTTCCTATTATTGATAGGAATTCACCAAGGTATCAGACATGATTTGCCCCAGCCTTGCCACTTGAGATCTTTTAAATGGAAACAATGAAATCTGAACCTTTTCTATATATTCAGTGAATGGAAATTACCTTAACATTGGGATCAACCTTATTTGGAATAAGCAATAATCCCTTCCAGGATTAATTATTTCTCTCACTTGGTGCTACTTTTACAAACATTTATGCAAGACAAGACATAAAGACAAGACAAACATTTATGCAACGTGTATATATTATTTCCCTATCTTAAGCTCTTGCTGGATTTTAAAAATGTGATTTTGCATCCAAATATTTTTATGGCCAATTTTGCATAGAGTAAATTTGCACTTTGATAAGGCATTTTTAAAATTCTCATCACATTCTAGAGTCTTCTAAATGTGAAAGAACTTAATTTTGCCTTTGTATTTGTTTGCATTGTAGTGCTATAAGCTAAAAGAAGGTGATTTTATAAGATTGAAAAGATATTATGTATTTAATATTTTTAAACATCAGATCCATGTAAAATTTATTTCTTCCAGTTCAGGTAATAACTTTTGGTAAATTATCTTGGCTGCTGCCACTGTGTGACAGCTACTTTATATAAAGATTTTGAGATTATGCACATTTGAATATTAGTAATAAAATGTATTTGGCATTTGAAAGCTATGTCATTTCCTCGACAGAACCTATATCTGCCATAATTCACAAGTTGTCAGGTTAAGCCTTGCTATGTTTATTATGGTGACTACATATTTTATGTATCCATTTTGTCACCTAAATCAACAAGTTATCCTATTAATATTCTTAAGCATCTAACTATTTGATATAAATGGCTAGCCAAAAAAATATAGAACTGTAACCTGAAGGAAATGGTATACTTACATAATTAGCAGCCAAATCTGGATGAAGATAATCAATTCCTGCAAAAATCAACAGCCGTAATAAACCATAAATACTGTATATTGAAGGAAAAAATAGTAGAATAGTACCTACAAAGTAAATGGATTTCACAGCTATTCAAAACATCATGTTTTGAATAGCTGTGAAATCCATTTACTTTGTAGGTAAGCATATCGCAAGTCAAACATGGGCCTTAGGACTTCTTATATAGGCTGACAGTCTCGGTTCAGAAATACGGTGCAAATTTGAGACACAGAAATTAGATTTACTGATAAAATAGTTTAAGCTTACAGTTGGTCCTAATTTATCAAATAGAGTCTTACAAAGCCAACAGTTTCAACAAAATTAAAGATCTCAGTGAACTTAAACTAGAAATTGTCACTTAGCAAAATTCACAAGCCACAATGATGTCAAAATGATAAGCCATTGTGCCATGATATTATCATATAAATGGTACAATTATGCAATGATGGCATGACTTCTAACTAAAGTACTTAAATCATTTTATTTGCATGCTAATCTCATGATGATATTTGTCCTCCTCCCTGGGTGCCCATGATTTAATGCCAAATTTATGATACAAATAACAATCATAACCTTCATAGTACCGTTCTCACCATTTTTCATGCCATCAGTTCTATAAAACACCAATAGTCATTGTTACTCCTTTTTCCTTAGGAACTTCTTTTCTATATATCTTGACTTGGCCTACAGTCATCAGGGCATTAGCTTCCTGTTTCTGAAATGGATACTGTATTCATCACAAGTTTTTCCATTTCCTAAAACACTGTGAAGGGTATAGAGAAGAACTGCTACCTTTTGCCCTCATGTCATTACTGCTTCTTTTATTAGTCAAATTACTCTAAATTAGTCAGTGTACAGAATTATTGAAAACAGTTGAACATAGATCATCAGATATTTGCTAATGCCAATCCAAATATATGTGGTCAATATAATCTCTCAGAAATTTTTGTAGCAAGGGAAAGAAAACTGCACAATAGCCATTTTCAAAGAAAGCTGCATTTCCTAACTGTTTTGGGAAACCCAGTGCCCATTCTAGTAGATGTTTTAGATTGTGATTCCCATAAATCCCTTGACATCAGTTATAGTGCCTGTTATTTATATCCGTTGTAAACCAAAGCACCTGATGTACATGAGTTATCTATTCCTTCTGTAAGATTGATTGTGAATTGGATCATTCTCAGTTTATGCTTTAGAGAAAAACCATTACGTTTTTTGTTTTGATAAAGAATTTAACATTTAGCTGCATCAACCTTCATCTGTAAAATATAAACTACCTTCCATTAAAAACAACTGTATTCCACTAAATGCATTTTCCTTGTTGGTTAGCAAATATGCAGTCTATTTCAAGCCACCAATAGATAAAAGCAAATCTCCTCCTCCTGCTCCTCCTGCTCCTCCTCCTCCTCCTGTTTTTAAACAAAATTCCTGCTCTGGAAAAGAAAGTAAACGTTTTACTATCTATGTAGATGCATTGAGAAGACTTGATTGGCTAAATCTGCAAATGCATTTGGTTTTTGGCCATCACACTTCACCAGCTATTTAGGCTTATGGGAAGACAGAATTATTTTTATGTATTCAGAACATGGGGCATCTCTATATGTGCAGTTTCAGCTCCCCATCTACACTCCAGCCTCATTTTAATACAGTACACTTACCAGGTATGTATAAAACTGAGATGATGAAAAGAACCAGCAAAAGGTAGTAGATCTACTGAAAGCAATCTTTGGTCTGAATTCACCAAAGATTGCTTATAAATCAGAAAACAAACTTGCATAAAAGGACATCTTCAGGGTGTGATAAAAAATGTCAAGATGGCAGCTTCAACAGCTTTGGGCTTTGATTGCCCTGTTATTCCCTGCAGATTGTCTGTCCTCTGCTAGAACATGTATAAAATCAAAGTTAGATCAAATTATCTGAGGTAGAAAATCCCATGGGAGATTCTTCTTGGGATTATTATTCAAAGTATTTTGGATCTGAAAAACTCTACTTCAAGTTTGGAATTCTCCTTGTTTAGTGCAACATTATTGTTTTGAGGATGGAAAGATCTGTTTTGATCATGGGAATATTTGAGCTCGAAAAAGAAGTGTTTGATCTTAAAACACTTCCAGTTTTACAACATTCATAAGAGAGCTTTGGACTGAAAAAAAGGCTTTGAATTCACTTACATTTCAAAATGATTTGCACACTTTGAGGTTATTATTATATAACATCATTAATGTTGCCTAATAATACCATGGTAACAATCAGTTATGTGTTACCTTTTCTTTACATCCCAAATAATCTGCAAACTGAAGCATCCTATTAATTAAACGATCTCTGGAAGTATGTATCTGTTAATTTGCATATTGTTTCATAGCTGAGAAGCAGAATTTTGAATGCCTAAAATTGCAGCATGCTGACCAGAGAATGCATACAAAATCTGCTATCAATTTATTATTTGTATCAACAATGCCAATTAATATCTTCAGAATCAGAATCAGAATAGAGCTGGAAGGGACCTTGGAGGTCTTCTAGTCCAGCCCCCTGCTCAAGCAGGAGACCCTATAACATTTCAGAAAAGTGACTGTCCAGTCTCTTAAAAACCTCCAGTGATGAAGCACCCACAACTTCTGAAGGCAAGCTGTTCCATTAGTTAATTGTTAATTCACTGTTAGGAAGTTTCTCCTCAATTCCAACTGGTCCAGAATGCAGCCGCGCGAGTAATAATGGGGGCGACTCATCGTTCCCATGTAACACCCCTCTTGCACGAGCTGCACTGGCTCCCGGTGGTCTTCCGGGTGCATTTCCAGGTTACCACCTTTAAAGTGCTCCATGGCTTAGGACCTGGTTATCTACAGGACCGCATTCTGCCACCGATTGCCTCCCACCGACCAGTACGCTCCCACAGAGAGGGCTTCCTCAGGGTGCCATCGGCCAAACAATGTAGGCTGGCGACCCCCAGGGGTAGAGCCTTCTCTGTGGGGGCCCTGGCCCTATGGAATGAATTGCCCCCGGACATACGAAGGATCCCTGACCTCCGCGCCTTCCATCGTGCTCTGAAGACCCTATTATTCCAGCAAGCCGGTCTGATGGGATAAAGGATTTTAATTGGGTTTTGATAGGGGTTTTAAATAACGATTTTAGCTGGGTGTTTTAAATTTGGCCAGTGATTGAATTATTTTAATTAAGTTTTTAATTTTTTTGTCTTGTATACTGTTTTTACCATGGCTGTTCATGGCCCTGAGTCCTTCGGGAAAAGGGCGGTATATAAATATAATAAAAGTAAAAGTAAAGTAAAGTAAATTCCAGGTTGCTTCTCTCCTCAATTGGTTTCCATCCATTGTTTCCTGCTCTCTGGTTCTTTGGAAAATAAATTGACCCCTTCCTCTTTGTGGCAGCCTCTCAAGTATTGGAATACTGCTATCATGTCCCCCCTAGTCCTTCTTTTCTCTAGACTAGCCAAACCCAAATCCCCTAAATGTTCCTCTTATGTTTTAGCTTCCAGGCCTTTATTCCAGAACATTTATTCTTTCAGATTATTTAGGCAAAGTGGCATATTTTCCATCTGAAACCATGTTATCTGCAGTATAGAAAATCATAATCAAATATTAATATGGTCTTCTATAGCAAGCTATAAGTGTGAAAGGACATTAAAAAAATATTTTTGAATGGCAGTGATGGCTGGAATAAAAATTGCATCTCCGTGAACAAATGTAATCTTTGTTCCCTGTAGCTAGCACAGCAAAATTTTGCAGACTTCCATTTTAAGGAAGTTCCATTTCTCTAGGTACTTATTATCCCTCTTGCACTGGTTTTGATTATAGCAGTTCTTTATAGAAATTTGCAAAATGAAAAAACAATCAATAATCCCAATAGCAAGGTATGCAGAGGCCTTCACTTTTCATCAAAGTTATTTTGGAAATTAGTTTTTTAAAAAATAAGATTGGTTACTTTCATTCAATATCTGTGTACTTGTTTTTAATCAGCAAGAGACAGGGAAAAAACAATTTGAAGACAAGGATTTAGGAACTGTTGATTTTGCACCTTACAGCAAGTTTTGCTTTCATATTATTAAGTAGTTCTAATAGGCAGCCTATAGAACAGATGATCAGGATTTAGGTTATTACTCCTCTCTGCTTGCAGAGACTTATAGTGGATTGAGGATAGATGTTCTGGATTGGCACATAGTTTGAAGACTGATTAGCTGCCCTGTCTTTCATCTTTGCTGAGATTCTAAACCATCAAAATGTGTTTGCACCATTGCTTAGCTCTGCTGAGTTTCCAAATGTTTTTTTTTAATTATTTCATTCTAATGTCACCCTTGTTTATTCCATTCTACTTCCATGTCAGTTGGTATTTATAGCAGTCTAAAATATACTGCCACATAATTTCTCAGATTTGTGCTTTGATGTCAGTTATGAGAAATTGTGACATAATATGAAAGTGCAAAATTAATTGGATCTAATCTGCATTTAAATCCAGTAGGTGTGGGTCTGGATATTTTTGAACAAGGACTGATGATGATTTCTAATTCCTCAACAACCTTGTGTGGGTAAAAATCACGAGGACATCCAAAATAGAAAAGCTGTTCCTAAAATGGTGCACATCAGTAACAATCTACAGTTAGATGATAGCAATTTGCAGTGTTTCCATTCTATGCTCGCCTTGTTCCCCACCCCCACCCCAATCCAAAAACATAAATGGGGAGATCTTGGACACAGAAAGTCTCAGTTGTGTTCAGTCACTGCAAAATGTAACTCTGCGGTTCCTCTGCGGACCCAAATAAAGGAGCCAGGGAATTGTGAGTCAAGTGCAAATGGATAATGCTATCGGTAGACAAGCAGCCTCATTTATCCAGTGGAGCATCAGTAGAGCAAGAATAGGTCCCTGGGGATTTGTTCAAGCATAGCAACTTTTCTGATTATTTTTAGCACTGTGAGGGAAAGCTTACAATGCAGATTAAAAATCCAGCTCAGGTAAATGGAGGAAGGCATTAAAATTTCTTTCTTTCTTTCTTTTCTTTTCTTTCTTTCTTTTTAGAAACACATTGGGGAAACACACAAAAAGAACGTGGCAGTTAATTCAATATTTACTTCTGCTAGCCCTTTTCCAAATTAGTAAACTAAGGTGCTTTAACTAAATGCTTTCTCGTAGATTGGATTTAAGAAATTGTCATTATACACAGACTGTATCCAAAGGGAACTTTGTCTGGATGATGATTTGTTAGTAAAAAATATGACTGAATATCTTCTAAGGTTTTTAATTAACATTCCAAAATGTTGAAGGAAGTGAATAATGGAGTGAGTTTTAATGTTAAATTGCATTCCTTGTTACAATAAAGGGTGAAATTTACAAGAGAGTCACAATGTTTTAGTTTTCACTTACCATCATCCATAATTCCTATCGTTACTCCTTTTCCTGTGTAGCCCAGCTCCCAGGCTTCAGCCACATTTAAATCAAGGCCAGGAGTCCCATCTGCTTGCCCAGTGTTGATCTAATGCATCACATTTTGAACAAAAAGCATAAGAGACTAATTTGCTTGGCACAAAGCAGAATGTTTACATCCACTGAGATTCCTTCTGATTCATCCGCCACCAAATGGCCTTCATTTCCTTGGAAATGCAGCCCAAAAAGAGGCACAAATTCATAAATACTAACATAAAATGTGGATCTCATTTAAGTCACAATGCAAGAGGCTTAATAGATTTCATTGTTTGATGGATGCCACTGCTGTAGTGGGGTGCTATTTGAAATGCAGTTTGAATGGCACAACTCAACAATTGATCTTATGAAGTATAAGGAAATGGCAGGGTCTCAGTTCTTCTTGGTCCAAAACATCTGGTGGATGAGGAGAATGAGACTATAATAAAAAACACTCTTTAAAGCTAGCTTGGAACTCAAATACTTTTCTCTTTGAGAAGGAAAATACAATATTCATTTATGTTTTGCCATAAAGTAGGATTATGTTGCTGAGAATTTTAAGTCTCATCAGACAGAAAAACGCATTTGCTATCCAGATAGCCATGTCTTAAAATGTGGCAATTCAGTTGATCTTTCATTCAAAACAATTTAAATTTCAAATTAAATAAGTATTTGTTATAACCCCACGGGATACTTTCCTTTAGAATTTGCAGCAATCCAACCAGCACACAAGTAAATAATTCAGTAGGTTTCATTTATATAAGAAACTTCTTTGTATACAATACCATACAGCAGAAGCCAGAACCAAAACTCAGAATCCAGAAGTACAGAATCAATGAACACAGAAGCTATAGAATCACAGAAGCACTCATATATATATATATATATATATACAGATCAATGAACCTAAGCCACGCCCAGGCTCCGAGTCGTCTGGGTCACCAAACAGTCCTCATTGGCTGACCTGTTACCATGTCTATTCCAATTAATGAACCCTTATATACTGACATTTCCAACCAACTCATTCATTAAATATCAAATTAACACATTAAAAAAAGCAGCATAGCAATCTGCATTAAAATAATCAGGAAAGCCAGATCTGATATGCAAAACTCTAGAGTAGTAAAATCAAGGGCAAAGTAAAAATAGAGAAGAACAGTTTTAAATGCATTGTGCCATGACCCAGGACCAAAAGCCCACTAGCCACTGATGCTCTTCTGAATTGGCTTTCTATCTTAGATCCATTGTGACACACAGGAATGTTGCTGCTGCATTGTGACTTGGAAGACTACTATTTAGCCTCTTCGAATTAGCAGGAAAGGTTGAGGAACATTCCTTAATATTTTCCTCACTGTTCTTATTGCTTACCTCCTCATACATCTACTAAGAAGAAGCTGTTATAAAAACCAGACTCTAGATGGGCACTAAAAGAAAAAGTTATCTATAGCCTTCAAAAGACAAAGCTTTCAAAAGACTTTCCTGGCCTAGATGTAAAACCATGTCTTTATTCTTGTTCACCATCTTTCCTTCTGGTAGATAGGCAGCCATATGTATTTGATAAATAAACACAAACAAATGGAATAAATTCAATCTGTAATTACATAGTTGCTAGCTTCAAGCAGATATGTGGAACTGGCCATGGTCCTGAATTACTATATCTAATCTTTTCCGATTGCTGCTATGGGTCTTGCTTCATAGCCTGAGCCCTTATTTACAGTGGACATCAAAATTCTCATTTGAACAGGACACACTGATTTATTATAAGGATAAAAATTGTGCTTTCAAGGAAATTTGTGATTTAGGGATAATCTATATATTAATTATCCCAGCAATGTAACCCTTGTTCTCCTATGGATATATATAGTAATATTTAGATATGTGCAAGCAAGAAACTTAATCCTCTTAAAAAGCTAGTTTAAAAAGTGGCATATTCACTCAGTGGAGTCAGTTATCACCAGGACTGGTGTAAGAGAGTTACAGTTAATGTAGCTGCAATTGGGTCAGTAAAAAATGTGGCAGGTAGAAGAAGGCTATGGAAAAATAATCTGAGTCCACAGAAGCAAAGAGTTACCTGCATCTGTCAATCTGCCCTCAAATCACACCATTGTTTGTCCCTGACCAATAGGGTTTTTGAGCAGGGAGATCTACTTACAGGCTAGCACACCTCTACATTAGCCAGTATTTAGATTGAATTGATAAATTTTATATGGGCTCAATCTATCTTTTATCCAGTGCAGTACAAGTTAGCCAACAGGCAGACTGGCTGCCATGGTTTTCAAATGGCCAGATCACTTGAAATTTTATGCAGTTCTGTATCAGCCAAATGTTATATTGGACCAGTGAGATAATTGGCCCACATTGGCTCAAAGATGGCAATTCTCCTAAGCAGACTATTACTGCATCCTGTCAGTTCAAAGGTATATTTCCTATATTGCATACAATTTCTTCATCCTGGTCCTCTCCCTTTATCCCTTTTTTTCAGGGACCCATCTGCAGTATTAATCTAGTAGCTCCATGTTGGACAGGGAAGGAAGGGGAGGGGAAGGGAAGGGAACTCTCAATCCTAACTGCGGTGTGCCAACTGAAATTTGATGAAGAAATCCAGCTAACTTATCCATACCAACTTTCTTGATTTAAAATTTCCCAAGACAATACAGGGGGCTTTAAAAGAGCTTACAATTTGCCAAAAATAACTAAATTATATTTCAGAATCATTCCATTGTTGTATTCCAAGTTCTGTCTGAGGGGCTCATATTAGGCAATACATTCTCCTGCTGTGAAGAAGGAAAGGGTTAGTCTGCTTACCAAGTACCACTGTTTTGTAAATAAAGGATCGTCCATGTTGATGACAATTTCATTGATGTTTCTGTAGCCTCTCTTCTTTCTCCCAAAACCTTCCTGCTGCACAACTTTCTTTACCTGCAAAAGTCAATTATATACTCCATTGGGACTTGTAAAAGAATATAAGTATTTTGGTTTACCTTATTTTACAATTAGAAGTGCAGGAGCAAGCATCCTAAAGAAGATGTAATTTTATTTTTGGTACATAGTTTGGCCCTATTCAGATGAACTCAAGAGGGCACAAGGAGAAGGTCAAAACCTGGGTTCAGAGATAACATATGCTAGCTGCTCCCTTTCCCACTGCCTGAATTATTTTATTATCTTACTAAAATTCAGCAGAATTCATGGTAGCTTGTGGCTTTTTTCCCTTGCTATATACATTAAACTTAATAATTTGTTCAGGATGGGGTATTTATTTATCTAATTTGTATAGCTACCCATCCCACAAAAACTGACACTGGGAGGCAAACCACAATCTGGATAGGATATGGATTATTTTGGAGATTAAATATTTGTATTGGCTCCACCAACTTTTCCCATCTCAGTTTTATGTCACAAACAATCTGATATTACATCACAAGCAAGTCAGGGGCTACAACATGACTTTTAGCCGAAGTTGTTTATGTTTCTCAGAAAAAGAACAACAAATTATCTTGTATGCAAATATTTTCATGGTTGCCTTTGAAGATAACTGAAAAAAATAACATTCAGATATGATTTGAAGTTTTTCCTTACCAATTGTACCTATTTCCCCTTTATAGCTGTTTTTCCTTAAATATCTAAATACACAACAGTAAACTGAAATGTACTCTGTTCTGAATGCAATCTGTAATTGTCAAAATAAATACCAGAATTCTCAGTGAGCCATTTTTGGTTCATCTGTGCCTGACAAAATTGCCAGAGGAATGAACTTTTAATAAAGAGTTTTATCAAAATAGAAAATTCATGCTGCTTTGAAATGTTATATTAATATACACAAAGAATAAATGTTAAAGTAGGATTTATTATATAGTCTTAAAGTGGAAGGTTGTTTTGAAATGTTGTAATAATACATAGATATAAGCTTGGGGGAGGAGAAAAAGGGAGATTATTGCTAAATTGGGAGTTATAATAATATTATGCTAAATTAGAAGTTATCTTACAATGTTATAGTAGACAGCCTTTTTTTTTTGAAACGTATGGTAAAAGGGGAAAGTAACAATATCAATAATAATAATATTTTTAGTAAGTAAGGGTCAGTATATAGAGGAGGAGTAAGGAGATGGTAAAATATTATGTAATCTGTTATGAATTAGGTTTTTGTTGTGAAGAAGTCACAGGGGGGGATGGGTGGCGAGGGGGGTTAGGGAGGAGGGGGGGAAGAAAAAAGGGGGAAAAATTTGTATTTGAAAACTTTTTCAATAAAAAAAGAAAAGAAAAGAAAATTCATATCGGGAAACAAAATATATTTATTTATTTGTTTGTTTTAATTTGTATACTGCCCTTCTCCAGCAGGACTCAGGGCAGTGAACAGCCAGAATAAAACAGAACATATAAGATTTAAAAACAGTTTAAAAATAATTAAATATTTTTGGCCACAATTTAAAACAACCCAATTAAAATCAATCAAACCCAATTAGAATCAATTAACCAAAAACAGTGGGATCAAGCCAGCCCAGCTAGGTGAAATGAATAACTTTTCAGGGCCCAACGAAAAGTCCGGAGGTCTGGAATTGTGCGTATCTCTGGGGGGAGGTTGTTCCAGAGGGCGGGCGCTGCCACAGAGAAGGCTCTCCCCCTGGGGGTCGCCAGCCGACATTGTCTGGTGGACGGCACCCTGAGGAGGCCCTCTCTGTGCGAGCGTACTGGCCAGTGGGAGGCTATTGGTGGCAGAAGGCGGTCTCGTAGATACCCCGGCCCTAAGCCGGGCATAATAATATTAATATTATATCATATATTCTGTCCAAAATGAGACAATTTTATCAACCAATGAATGAATGGGACGTAGCTTGACTATTGATTTGTGCTACCGGTATTTGTTAGACTGGTTTAATTAACTCACATATAAATTCATACATCCAAGAATTCTAGAAACTGTATATGTTGATAGTAGGTCTCACTCAAAACTATGGGATGATATCTAATGGAATTAATAAACTGCTTATATTTACTAGGTTCATGGGCTTCTTCCAATAAAATCCTTCCAAAGCGTCTTGGCATTTAAAAAAAAACTTGCTATATATCAGTGAAAACTTATTGAGGAAGATGGATGTCAAGGAGCTATGGCTATATTGGTAACACATATTTAGGCTTTGTTTGGACTCTAACTACAATTTTTGGAAATCTCATACTGAGGAATTATGAAAGTTATGAAATAAGTTCAGAGAATATGATCATATCTCCTCCTAGATCGTGTGTAATATTTCTTCAAAAAAAAATTGAAGTTGTACATGTTATTAAAAATTTTAAGAGTGAAGAAGAGCTGAAATCTGAATAGTTCAAAATTAAAGAAATACATTTTACTGCTAAGTACGTAATTATTTTAAGCCAGTTCTCCTGAGTGTTGACTAACATACTACCCAGTACAGCATGCTTTCATAATCACCAAAATGTAAAAAGAGTTAAGAGTTAAGAGTTAAGAAATCTTTAGGGAAAAAAAACAACAGAAGAATAATGAACAGCATAATTCTAAGACCCAAATGCATTAGAAGTCCTTGTCCATACTTATTTCTATAGGCACTTGTGTCCCACTTTGTCACCTGTTATTTATGCTCAAGCTAGAGGTGACTCTCCCCTGAGTTCAGTTTGAATACAGTCAAAGAATGGTGGAAATTTTGAGCAGGAAGAAAGTGGCAGTGGCTGAAACTTTGAAGTACAAATAGGAACAATTCAACTGCTAGAACTTACTCGTTCAGGAACCAGATTCAATGACACAGATAATGTGAATGTGGAATGTACAGAGGAAATGAAATACAAAGCTTTGTTTTTGTTCTCATATATAGGGATATCTAATTATGAAATCTACAGAGCTACAGCTAGTGAGAGCAGATAGCATATCCAAATGCTTTTTAAAGCTTATAATTGAACAATAGAATACTACCATTACTGAGATAGAAGGATTCAGAAAAGGATTAAAGAGTTATCACTGAACATTTCGTGATGAGAATGAGAAAGATACAGAGGAAATGAAAATGTAACCGCTGGAAATGAGCCAATTGTGAATGGTTTTAAAACCGAGCTGTAGCATCTTACAAAGAGTGAGCAATATGCGATGAGGCTGACACTCATCACTTGGTGTCCTAAAATATGAGGTCACCTACTTTGCTAGCCAGTCCTAAAATGTGACACTGTAGGTATTCGGGCAGATAAAGAGGCAGTATTGTACAGTGTGCAGCACAATTTGTTTAGGAAACCTTGGGCAGATTTGAGTTAGGGTATGTTTTTCAATGCAAGAATCTCCACAATATAGCATGGGCAAATATATCCAGTATGATTTTTTTAAAAATTACTACTACTACTACTACTACTACTACTACTATATATTATTATTATTATTATTATTATTATTATTTATTATTATTATTATTATTATTATTATTATTATTATTATTATTATTATTATTATTTATTGAATTTCTATACCGCCCTTCTCCCAAAGGACTCAGGGCGGTGAACAGAATAAGATTTCATATACATATAATAATTTTTTTAAAAAAAACAGTAAATAATAAATTGAGTCAACTTCAGATTACAGGTAATCTAGAAAAATCTATACCAGGAAATCTAGAAAAAACAAGTCTTAAACTATGAAAACATCAAAAGATTCACATCACTTATTTTCTTTCTTTCTTTTTTTTAGAACTCTTGTTTCATTCTTACAATACATGAAATATTGTGAAAAGTCATTTAGGGATACGTCAATCAAATACAGTAATCAATATCTGCATTCTGGAACAGTTAAACATGTTTCCCAGGAGTTAATATTCAGAAATCAGTTTAAATTTAGAGAAAAATTATTGTATTGTATTATTAACTCTGTAAATAAAAAGGTCAGAGGTCATTTTTGCTATATGTTTCTTTGATGCATTTTTGTCACTTTTTAACTTACCCTGTTATCTATTTCCCCATCTTTCCTTTATGTTAATTTATGTTTTAATGTTTGTTTTTGAAATTTAATAAATATATTTTTTAAGGAATTGGTGACTGTGCATTGCTAGCAATTTCCTTAGTAGCACTTATACAAAGCCCCTGAATCATTTTTCCAATTGCACAGATATATCTCTGATAGGTTTCACTTTAATCCTTTGAATAAATGGTAGAGCTACAGCCATGGTATGTGGGAATATCTCACCACCCATTGTATATGCCTCCAGCTTTAGGAAATTCACCAAGGGGTATGGTTATATTTGGCTTTAAAATACATATTGTTGTGATGCTGAAAGAAGGCCTTTTGTTAGTCTGAGAGCTTTTTTAATAGCCCAGGACAAGTTGTTAATGTTTCATCAGAGAAGAATAATGGCAGGAGAACATCATATCTACAAATCTTTTCTCGCCCTTCTTTTCAGACTGTGATACCCATTAAAAGGTGGAAACAGTAATAGCTTGGGAACGCAGCTGTGAATTACATTTTATCCATTTTATCAGAAGGAAGCAATAAAGGTGGATTTGTTGAAGTATCTTTAATAGAATAACAGAGTTGAAAAGGATCTTGGAGATCTTCTAATCCAACCTTCTGTTCAAGCAGGAAACCCTATAATATTTTAGACAAATGGTTGTCCAATTTCTTTATAAAAACCCTCCAGTGTTGGAGCACCCACAACTTTTTGTTGCATGCCTCTCTTTACGGATATTTCTAAAGGGTTGACTGGATTGTATTTTTGCTGCTTCACTAGGTCCTATAGGGAACTTTAAGCAACAAAGTTTGTAACAAGTCACAATGTTGTCAAAACAGGTGCACCATAATATCACTGCACAAAACCCCACAATTTTGCAATAATGTCATGATGTCTCATACAAGTACATAAGGTGCAATATTTGCATGATGATATCCATGATCTTTGTGTGGTCATTTTTCCTTTGCCACACTCAGCAGATATCCA